CGGGCTCCGTCTCAGTGGACCCTCTCTTTAGGCGGCGTCCGGCACACGCGGACGCCGCCCCCTCGCGGCTGGCCAACTAATGCGGGTGGAGGGGAGAACCCATCCCGTCCACCCGCGGCCACACTCAGGGCGGCATGAGGCGCAGGTAGGCGCGCCTCCGCCGCCCGGTTCGCCGGCGGCGGATCAGGTCCGAGTGGAGGTCGTCCTCCCGGGCCTTCTCCGCCGCCTCCTTCTGCGAGATTACCTCCTCGCAGAAGGTTGCGACCGCGGTAAAACAACAGTCGCTACCGGCCATGGAGCGAATTACGGCCGGTAGCGAGAGATCCGCTCCGATGACTGCAGTGAGGGCCCGGCGCTGCGTCGCCCATGCGGGGCAAACCGCCAGCGTGTGCTGGGCCGAATCCTCACCGCAGTCGCAGTGGTGGCAGGCGGGACTCGATTCCCTCCTAGCGACCGAGTACAGGTACTTTCCGAAGCAACCGTGCCCGGAAAGCACCTGCGTCAGCCGGAAGGAAAGGGTCCCGTGCTGCCGCCCTGCCCACTCGGCGATGACCGGCTGGAGAGCCTCCACGGCGGCGAAGCCAGCGCGTGGAGTCTCCAGCCGGAACGACCATCTCACCATGGTGGCTCGGCGAGCGGCTTCGCGCCACTCGCGCACGTCTTCGGGCGGAGGGCGAAATCCGCTCTCCGCCCGGAAGTCAGCCACTCGCCGATAAACCTCGGCGAGCACTTCCGCCTCCAAATCCCACGGGGGTGTTCCGGCCAAGGCACAGGCCGCCTCGGTGGACACCGTGCGGTATCTGCGTATGGCTCTGACCGCCAATATCCTCTGGGGGCGCCAGAGGCGCGCCCTATTCGGGGCGGTCAGAGCCGCCACCCACACCGGTGCACCATAAAGCGCCATGGACCGGACAACCCCCGCGTACAGCCGCCTCGTGGGAACACTGGCCCCGCCCAAATTGGGCAAAAGTCGCCCTAGGGCGGAGGCAGTGTCCACCAGCTTCGGACCAAGCTGTCGGAAGTGCTCGTCGAAGAGCCACCTACCGTCTAGGACCAGACCCAGGTACCTCATCTGGGCCCGGACCGGTACGAGGACCGAGCCGACCTCGATTGAGGCGCCGGCGGGCGGACCACGACGGGGCCCATGAAATAATAGGGCCTCCGTCTTATCCAGGGCCACCCGCAAACCCAACGCCTCAATGCGCCCGACCACCTGGGAAACTCCCGTGGCGGCCAGGCGCGCCGCCTCCTGGAAGTTAGCCCCCCGGGCCGTGAGTAAGGTGTCGTCCGCGTAGCAGATTACACCCAGCCCGGGGGGGAGACGCCCTCGTAGGGCCCAGTCGTACCCGATGTTCCACAGGAGAGGTCCTAGGACAGACCCCTGCGGAACACCACACGACATGGCCCTGCGTCTCAAGACGCCATCTCGGTCCTCGTACATGACGGTTCGCTCCTCAAGATAGTCTGCCACCAGCCGCCTCAGGTACTCCGGCACTCCGTGGTAGCGGAGCGCTTCCCTGATGCAGCTGAATGGCAGACTATTGAAGGCGTCCAAGGACACCGCCAACACCACTCCGCCGCAGCTCACGGCCTCCTCGGTCACGGCCCTAAGGCGCATCACGGCATCGATCGTCGAACGCCCCTCTCGGAAACCGAATTGGGCGTCCGACAGATCGGGGCCAACCTCGCAAAGGTGCCGGACGATGCGGGCAGAGAGCACCCTCTCAAAAAGTTTGCCCGCCTCGTCCAGCAACACGATAGGCCTATAGGCCGCGACCGAATCGGCAGGCCGTCCCGGCTTCTGCAGCAGGACCAGCTTCCCGCATTTCCAGCGCTCAGGGAAGCGTCCGGACGCCAGGCTAGCGTCCAACACCCCCCTGAGGTGGACCGACATGTAGTCGAGGGCTCGGGCCATCACTCGGGCTGGAACCCCGTCCGGCCCGGGGGCGGTGTTCTTGGATCGAATCCGTAGAACAGCCGCCCCCAACTCCGATTCCCTGACGGGCGGAACATCGACCTCTCTGCCCCCGTCGTCTCCGGCTGATGCAGCCATCGACGGGGGTGTGTGCTCCGCCCGCTGCGGGAATAGGCCCTCGAGACCCACCTATCCACCCATCCCCTAACCCACTAAGCCCCTAGAAACCACCCCTGCCAAACCACAAGTATTCTAACCCACCTAACCCTGGAAAGTAAGAAGTACACATCATAAGCAGATTGACCCATCTAACCACCTAGCCTCTAACCCACTTAACCCCTACCAAACCAAAAGCAGGCTGACCCACCATTTTTTTTTATTCTGTGGAAATCCCCTCGGACCGTCACCCCGCCGGGGTTCTCTATTCGGCGGGGCGGTGTGTCTCGACTTGAACCGACTAAAACCACACGGTGTGCCCTCTTTGCGCTTCTATTTTAGGGGGGGTCCAGGTAGTTATCGCCTTCTGGACCCCTCCCAGCGCCGGCCCGCTCCTGGTGCGGGCTCCGTCTCCAAATTATCCTCTCTGTAGGCGACGTCCGGCACACGCGGACGCCGCCCCCTCGTGGCTGGCCAAACTAATGCGGGTGGAGGGGAAAACCCATCCCGTCCACCCGCGGCCACACTCAGGGCGGCATGAGGCGCAGGCGAGCGCGCCTCCGCCGCCCGGTTCGCCGGCGGCGGATCGGGTCGCAGTGGAGGTCGTCCTCCCGGGTCGTCCTTCTCCGCCGCCGGCTGCGTCGCCCATGCGGGGCAGACCGCCAGCGTGTGCTGGGCCGAGTCCTCACTGCAGTCGCAGTGCTGGCAGGCGGGACTCGATTCCCTCCTAGCGACCGAGTGCAGGTACTTTCCGAGGCAACCGTGCCCGGAAAGCACCTGCGTCATCCCGAAGGTAAGGGTCCCGTGCTGCCGCCCTGCGAAGACCGGCTGAAGAGCCTCCACGGCGGCGAAGCTAGCGCGTGGTGTCTCCAGCCGGAACGACCATCTGACCAGGGTGGCTCGGCGAGCGGCTTCGGGGCACTCGCGCACGTCTTCGGTAGTCAGCCACTCACCGATAGACTTCGGCGAGCACTTCCGCCTCCAAATCCCACGGGGGTGTTCCAGCCAAGGCGCAAGCCGCCTCGGTGTACACCGTGCGGTATCCGAGTATGGCTCTGACCGCCAATATCCTCTGGGGGCGCCAGAGGCGCGCCCTATTCGGCGCGGTCAAAGCCGCCACCCACACCGGTGCACCATACAGCGCCATGGACCGGACAACGTACAGCCGCCTCGTGGGAACACTGGCCCCGCCCAAATTGGGCAAAAGTCGCCCTAGAGCGGAGGCAGTGTCCACCAAGCTGTCGGAAGTGCTCGTCGAAGAGCCATCTACCGTCCAGGACCAGACCCAGGTACCTCATCTGGGCCCGGACCGGTACGAGGACCGAGCTGACCTCGATTGAGGCGCCGGCGGATGGACCATGACGGGGCCCAATGAATAGTAGGGCCTCCGTCTTATCCAGGGCCACCCGTAAACCCAACGCCTCAATGTGCCCGATCACCAAAGAGACTCCCGTGGCGGCCAGGCGCGCCGCCTCCTGGAAGTTAGCCCCCCTTGCCGTAACTAAGGTGTCATACGCGTAGCAGATTACACCCAGCCCGGGGGGGAGACGCCCTCGTAGGGCCCAGTCGTACCCAATGTTCCACAGGAGCGGTCCTAGGACAGACCCCTGCGGACGACATGGCCCTGCGTCTCAAGACGCCATCTCGGTCCTCGTACATGACGGTTCGCTCCTCAAGATAGTCTGCCACTAGCCGCCTCAGGTACTCTGGCACTCCGTGGTAGCGGAGCGCTTCCCTGATGCAGCTGAATCGCAGACTATTGAAGGCGTCCAAGGACACCGCCAACACCACTCCGCCGCAGCTCACAGCCTCCTCGGTCACGGCCCTAAGGCGCATCACGGCATCGATCGTCAAACGCCCCTCTCGGAAACCGAATTGGGCGTCCGACAGATCGGGACCAACCTCGCGAGGTGCCGGACGATGCGGGCAGAGAGCACCCTCTCAAAAAGTTTACCCGCCTCGTCCAGCAACACGATAGGCCTATAGGCCGCTACCGAATTGGTAGGCCGTCCCAGGCTAACCCACCTAACCCAGGGAACTGCGAGTTTACTCGCCTATTTCTTTTTATAAAAAAAAAAAAAATTGGATTCCACACCTCAAGCGATCTAACCCACCTATCCACCCACCCCCTAACCCACTAAGCCCCTAGAAACCACCCCTGCCATATATGTACATTTAATCTATACTAATCCGAAATTTGTAATCAATGAGTGTGAAATCACCTGATTATCAATTTTAATTTATTTGTCACCGAAATTGCTCGCAAGAGTTTGAATTCCAGTAAGATTATCACTTTCTTCTAATATTTGATTTTATTACATAATTAGGGTACGAGAGTTTTCGATCACATCTAGATGGATTTAAACGTAAACTGTAGAACTATTTGACATAATATATTACTATAAATTTGTAAAAAGATAGACTATTCCTGTAACTTCACTCATAACCTTAGGAAATGATCTTAATAATAATAATAACTTTATTGAACTTCAATTCCTTTGTTACAATTATACAATCCAATAAACATATTATAACCGTATGAGGTGTACAAAGTAGACCCTGCCCACCAAACTAGGTATTCCTGTAACTTGGAAGACAGTGTTCCGCTAATGGCTCGTTCACGGTATTTCATTATAGGTATTTTACATTTATGTTGAAATTTTTAAGGTGTGAAGTTAAAGTAGTGGGACGTACACGCATGAAGTGTTTCGTGTGTATTTGTGTGTATGTGTGTGTGTATGTGTGTGTGTGTGTGTGTGTGTGTGTGTGTGTGTGTGTGTGTGTGTGTGTGTGTGTGAGTGAGTGCGTGTGACTGTGAATTAATGTGTAATTAGAAGGTTGTGGATCTGTGTTGTGGAAAATAATGTATCGTATATATTTTTTTATATTCCATGATGGAGCAATGCTTCGGTTTGGGCATAGTCTTTTTCTAGTAACCAATTGTGTGTATATTCTTCTTAACTTCATAGTTATTTAATGTTGTTATTTTAATTTGCTTGTTTACATTCTTGTAAATTAGAGAACTTATAACATACAGCTGTTTCCTGGCGAATGACGTTTTGTGTACTTGTGTGGGGCATATGAGCCTATTTGTTCGCCTCCAAAGCGTGGCACGTAGCACATAGAGCTGCCTCACCGTAAGTATTTTGGTTTCACCATAAAGCTGTTTTGTGGGATACCCAAAAGGCTTAGCCAGCATCACTTTGAGAACAGCTCTCTGTGCTCGCTCCACCTTCAGAAACCTTGATTTAGCGGCGCCTCCCCACACCGATATACAATAACCGATGACGGATTGACAAAGCGCAGTGTATACCTCTTTCAAGATTTTCGCATCTGCACAGTGTCTTAGAGTTTTAAAGATGTGAATAGATTTCCTAATTTTGTTAGATAGTGTCTCTAGATGTGTATACCATTTAAGTTCTTCATCGATCGTTACGCCAAGGTATTTAACATTGGTTACTTTAGAAACAGCAACACACGAGCAGGTTGTGCTTGTTGTGTCTCGGCATGTGTGAGCTTTTATGGTGTATGGAGTTATTGGATTAATATGTGGGTTTAAAGTGAAGGGGATGTAGTTGGTTTTGGACAGATTGAGGGTGAGTTTATTGTCGTTTAACCATCCCATAACAATCCGAAGTGATGTCTCGGCGGTACATTTAGCTTCCGACCATGAGTTTCCGTATACCACAATGGCAGTATCATCAGCGTACGCTATTATTTTAGATTCAAATAAGGTTAAGTTGCACAGATTGTTTATATATATTAGGAACAGCGTAGGTCCGATCACACTGCCCTGCGGGACACCGTAGGAGATCATTTCGTCTTCGCTAGTAAGATCACCTATCTTAACACATATCCTCCGGTGCTCTAAATAGGTCTGGAATAGCTTAAGTGCTGTTCCTCTTATGCCAATCAACTCCAGCCTGGACAGGAGAATGGGGACAGAAACTGTGTCAAATGCTTTTGCCTTTGCCTTTTATAAATCTTAATTTATAGTCAGGGATTCCACCTGTCAAACTAGTCTATATTACAAGATGCTCCTAGTTTTGAGTCCCAGTTTATTATTTTTAGCATTGGATCCCACAAAACAGTATCATGTATTTCCGTTGGATCCTAAATTTAAAAAATGCGAGAGGATATCGTTTTATTGTCGTTGAATCCCGAACATTATTTCTGTTGGATATCAATTGCTTAAAAAAAGCCGAATGCAAGGACTTTCAATCACAAAATTGTTTATAATGAGATGAGGGTATATTTTATATCGACTGAACAGTTATCATATTCTGTTACAATCTCGTCAAATGACTTCAGTTATTTTGTATAAAACTTCATCCAATTACAAAGTACTATGAATGATCAAATGCCATCTACTTCATCAATAGGCATCAAAGATTTAAATCTTTTACATAATGCTCAACAATATGCAAAAAACAAGATATATGATGATACAAATGAAACTTCTATATCGACATACTTTAACCACCGTTAGAAAAAATGCAAGGGAACACGGACATTTCAGGTCTGTACTGTTTTATGTTTGATAAAGGTGAATTACTTTTCTTCGGAACAATACACATGTTGTAACAACATGGGATTCAATGGAAATAGCAAAATTGGAAATCCATCATCACTAACTGAGGGCTGTATTTTTGTCATACAAAATGATTATTTTTAAGTGTGGAAACATAATACATTAAACGATCTTTCGTACTAATTATTTACATTTGTTATTATTAATTATGATTATACATATCGTATATATGCGTACCTTTCAAGTGTCATTCTTAATAGAAGTTTGAACATGAAGTAATAAAAAAAGCAAAAGAAAATAATACAATTTTAAAATTTACTTTTAAACATCATTTATACAATATTTTAATTTGTTCTATGTTTGTATTTGTCATAACAGGATGTTATTTCTTTTAAAAGTGCCAGCGAGTTAACCAACTTCAGTGACACCGAGTAGCAAGATTTTATTTTGTTATCTAATTGATACTGTTCGTTTTGAACAAAGATTTATTTTTATTTTTGTTATTTACTCTATTTGTAGTCAACAGGTTGAAGATTAACAAGGCTCTACGTCTGGCTTATTTCTGTTGTTATAAAAGTCTTTTTAGTATCGTTCTACTTTTCGAATTTCTTTTATAAATGTCACAAAAGCTTAAAAGTCGATGTAAATAAGTTGATCGATCGGGCGGTTCCCGGTTCTCGGTTGAGCGGACTTGATGATCTCCTTATTGAATTATAAGTATTTACCTTATTTGTTTTTCAATTTATATATAATAGATGTATAACACAATGGTCCTCATGTGACATCTTTATGAAGCCGTTTTACGTAGTTTTTGTCTATTTAGCACATATTATTGCTTTTTACACTTCTACTACATACCTATAAACTTTGAGTATTCTAAGTTTGTTTAAAATATGCTATATATGATTTTTTTTAATAGAAAAGGCATTGTACGTTCTGCATTCCACACAGATCAAACTTATTTTAGGTAATGTAAGGTTGTATTAAAGTACAATAGCAAATATTAGGACGTTATCAGACGGATTCTTTTAATTATTTATAAAGCACCGACAGTTCATTACGTCATTTATGACACAATTACGCAGGTTTTTATTTATCGTAGCCCTATAAGTTCGATGATCTTGTGACATTTCTGAAGGGAACATTCATTTACGTGACCTATATCTATTTCGTTACTGCCTTCCTGACGTCCTCTATTTTCCTTGAATTAACATCTTCACATTAGTTTATGGTTTAAATATGTTGTATAACTATAAAACATATTTAAAACATCAAATACCTATGCATTTTTACCAAGAATACACCCGTTGGGTGTGTTTTCTAACTATGTATGTGTAGGTAAATGTGTGTAGTCTTAAAAGTGTGTAGACTTTAAAATTTAGAACATGTAGTGGATTTATTATATTTCCTACTCCTTGAATTTTTTTCTGATTAATGTCGTTGCGGGTTCCAAGACAGTTTAATTTTTTCCATGGACCTCTTGAGTGTCATAATTCGATGTGTTCGTGGATCACTGCCGTTGTTTCTGGTGTAAAGAAGTTACAGTGGTATAGGACGGATTAGTCCCATTCAAAAACTAGCTATACCCTGCCTCACTTCGCTGTGGCATTTTGTGGTTGCATTGATAAGAAATGAGGCACAACACTAACACAAAAATAGATAAAAATAATGATAAAGCGGGTTGTGTATCATGTCAAAATTTAAGATCAATCGGTGCAGACTATTTTAGTATTTGAACCGTACACATTAAGTAAACATACGAGTATATAGATGACATATGACAATCCGTGAAACGCAGCTTTACGTGACTTCTAAATTAATGTCTCCACACAGCTGCGTAATGAAACTTGACAACCAATAATATATATCAAACATCCGTCTTCTCTAATTACCTATACGTTTCATACATCATTGTACAATAAATGCCAAGCAATTGTCAAAATAGCTAATCTGTTAACCTAAAATTTATTAGAATATTCATTAAACCTAAATTAGGAGGCAAGGCGTTCCTAAACATGACTGTCAACTGACTAATGGCGGTATGGTAGTTACGTCTTCTGACGGCCGGAGCTTAAGTGTAAATTTTGATTAGTTGCCATAGTTATAGTTGCCTAAAGCTTTCGTAGCAGCTTTAAACATCTTGCTATGAATTAACGTGATTAGTTGCAAAATGTTGAAGGAAATTTGATGTGTGAACTGTTTTTTTTGTACAAAGAATTCCTATGATAGAAATTTAGGGAAAACTACGCTTTTCGAGTAGAATTCTGTTTAAGCAAGACGCTAAACATAAGAAGATTATTATTACATTATTTTAAACAAAGCCAAATAGTAAAGTATGTAGTAAAGCCATGGTCAAATTCGTGGTATATTTGATACAGGCAGAAGTAATTTTGTACGTACTTATGGAGTCGGTATCTATTAGGTACATTATGAGCATAAGAACGCTCTGTTTAATGTTAAATAATCTATTTGTGATCTCCACATATGATTATCTAGCACCAACTAATCCTAAAGGTTATGACTAATATCTGAATAGTAATTGATATTTTAAAATACGCAAGAAGATTTTCTTTTAAACTTAGGTAACTAATGGATACTAGACGTTGTAAAATGGTACAACAAACGCGGAGTAATCCATCCCTGAGTGAAATTTAATGAAATAATCGGGTAAATAAACTCATTTCTTTTTTAATAGGTATTAAAACAGTATTAATTAATTGACTCAAGAGGAGGTTTCATCTTTACACTGTTGAAACACTAAAAGTCGAACTAAACGTTTTGATAGATCCTTTTATGTTCTAGTCACCAAAGACTGAAATGATCGTTTTTCGACAATTTGCTAGACAATAATACTATTCTTGTTGCTAAAAAAATTCGATTCATTAAGCAGAGAGAGAGGGTATTCATACTTTAAATTAGATTTTAATTTTTATCTTTTTTTTGTGTCGAATTAAACAAATTTTGTTTGAAATAACCGAATATATGTTATCTGTATTTTTATTAGACATATAGCTGTTTATTACTTTATATTAAAAGGTAATCGTAAATCCTGACTGCTAGATAAGGATAATGATACAACTTTCAAATTTTTTGTACTTTCATCGGTCCTTGATAATTATTTAGTTTCTTTAATTTAATCTGACGTAACATACCTACATATAAATAAACATACAGGAGAAGCTAATAAAAGCGTGTAAAAACCTACGTGGGAACGTCTACATCACAGATTACTGTATACATCAAGATACATGGCATGGTACAAGATGTCATGGTATTGAAGTCTATACAATAACAGTTTAAGTTATACTTGCCATGTAAACAATAATAATATTAAACAATAATAATAAATAAATATTTCGGACATCTAACACACAACGCCATCTAGTTTCAAACTAAGCAGAGCTTGTACTATGACAGTTAGATTGACTGATACAATACTTACATTATTTTTTTTAAATACTTATATATTGTCAATAGAAAACACTCAAACTTGGAAACAAATATTTGCAGATCATACAAACATTTGGTAAGACCCGGGAATCGAACCCTAGACCTCAACGCAGCAGTATAAGTGCCATGTTTTGTAAGTCCTTATACGTTCAGTATAACTTTCGTCAATGAGGTTGGGGTTTTAACGTTACTTGAATTGCCATTGTTTTTAAAAATCACAAATGTATGGTAACCAGTTCCTTTAACTATAATGTTTAAAAATAATCGTGGCACTATTTGGTCTCCGTGCTCCCTTTATCGGCTCTACCATACATCATTTGCATTACAATACTAACGATTTAAAAGAAAGAAAACCAACTAATAACTTTGCGACGGAATTGAATAAAAAATTGAATATTGATTTCACGAGTTCATGCATTTAATTTAAACTTCGCGATAGCATTAAAGCTACAAATATATTTATACAGCCTGCAATACAAAGACTCCGAAAGTTTGACACAAGAGTTTCGAAAAGCCATTAGGTCTAGCAAAAGAAGATAACTACAAGTTTTACGTTCACTGATACCCTCGGCGAGCCGACTCGTAACTTTTAATAATTCAACTTAGGATTTATTTCATCGCCGTCTACTACAGATTGATTTATTTAAATTACTCGTCTTTCGAGCATTAACGCCATCTACATGTATAACAAGCAGTATAACAGAGCTAACTTAGCCTACCATTATGATTTTTTCCAGATTATTTAAGGCAACAGTTTAACTTCTAGAGGGGACGATCTACTCTCAGAAAAATTAACACATTAAAGTTAAATATTTCATAATCGCAATTATATTATA